CATACCCCGTCATGACATATTATGGATATTTCGCCCTCCCTCTTTTACGATATACCTATCATAGATCGGTCTGCTGTTAATTAAATCACTGTAGCAATTCTATCCCTTTTCAGCCTGCTCTGTTGTGGCGCCTTAACTGCAAGATACATGTATGGATCTCATCGACATCCGATCTCCTTAGCTAGTTATTTTTTAGTGATATTAAATTCCGCGATCTGGCACAAACCCCAAACTAACTTGAATCCAGGTAGACCCGATGTGTTTGATCGTCAACTCATATTCCCTGACAAACTTTGATATTCGGTTTCGGCATGGAAAATCGGACGGGCCTTTGGTTTTCACATACAATGACTTCTCCCAATCCTATCCGCAGCGCGTCGCGCACCAGTGCTTTACTGGAAACACTCTGGACCGTTCGAAGAACCAGCCCTTATTTTGATGCTGCATTTAAAATGGGTAACAACGAAGGTCACATATCTTCACCAAACTAGTCTACACGGATAACCGGAGGACTTCAAACGCGTGGATCGGTGTAGGGTTTCAAAGTCTGCCGTGACGTGAGCTATTCTGACGCACCCAATGACGAAGAATTTGTGCTCACGAGCATAACCAGCACAAGTTCGATGGTCATGGCTTGAGGGAGGTCCGTCATCGGCTCCATATTCCTCAGTTTCCACGCTGATTCCCATTCGACGTCAGATAACCGACCGATGAGTGTCATCCCTTTCTTGTCGCCATCTGGTCTCCATTCTTGGGCCCCGGCCGGCGCTCAATGAGAACTGGGCTCGGATATCCTACGATCAAATAAATTGGTTGGCGAATAAAACGGTGCGTTTCGGAAATCCGATAGTCGAGAAACACGAAGTAGAGTCCCGTACTACGAAAGTTGAAAAGGCGCCTTGACGAAGACTTGACAACTTCAACACGGGGGTTTCGTTTAGTCGCCGAAGACAGATTTAGCCCATGAATCCGAATTCGACTGTCATCTTTCCACAACCAGGACACCGCTCTCCGCAGCGCGGGTTTAATTCAAGGTCCAGGATTCCTACGCCAGCGTTCTGCCATGACTATCAAGGTCGACCATGAACGAGACGTCAATGTTATAAACGAAGGTGACTCACGGTATCTTGATCCTGGACGATTCAGCATGGCTTTTTCAGGGAGTAGAATCGATTGCGCTACTGGATGAATATCAATGGGTACAAGGGAGGACATGAACCTATGGAACACAAAGGCATCCTTGATAGCTACCCGATGCGCGCCGCCCTCACGGAAGCTCACAAAACAAATCATACTTCGAAAATCATGACCTTTCCGTTTGGCCCTTTTGTACCCGGTGACTGACGAACAATTCAATAAGCAAGTTCTCATCCTGTCTTGGAGGACTACATACCATGGGTCCCGCCTTTTACACCGCGTCCGCGCTTGATGGATGGCATTTCTTCCGAGGAATGTCCTGCCCTCGACCTTAGTTGTGGGAGTGTGCCAGATACGGAAAGCGCGAAGATTGGAAACACGCGAAGTCTGGTTATCAGCCAGAGAAAGGCGCTTGATGTCACAACAGGGCAAGACTGTAACAAAAGCGAGGGAAAATCGTCAGGTGAACCTAGATATCCCAAAGGGTCACGAGGGGCGCATCCACGGTTGGACACGAATATCGGGGTTGGGTTTTCTGAGGACAGTCGATATTCGCATGCAGAAACCGAGGTGAAAGTTCCCTGGTAGATGTATAATTCAAAGACAAGACGAACCGTAGCGGACTTCGAAGTCACCATCGCTGCAGAACAACTCGTCACAAATACAACACAACATCTCTTGTTCCTTTCCACAACCGTCGATCCAATAATGGCAGATATGGTAGAGGAAAAGGACAGCCAGGTCGAAGAAAGGTGCGCTGATAAAATTACTGCATCACCTCCCATCGTCCTACAGAATTATCTCAGGATCGATCATCGTGATGCCTCGGAGGAGATCACACAACTTGAAGGGCCCGATAAATTCAACGAAGTACGCGGCTCATATTCATTATATCCTTTAGACAGCTCATCGTGACTTTTTGCAAGACCAAAGAGGATTCAGATATCAACCAGATGAGAGCTTTCGTATCGATTAGTCCGCTGGGGCATCCCGGGTTTCCGGGAAACCTTTACCAGCTGGGTCTCGCATATATTCGTAGATTCCTGGCGCACCACGTCATGGCTGACCTGCAGGCTGCTCTGATGCATGGTAAGGCCAGTGTCGATGCGACCCCTCTGTCGCACCGCGATCTCCCGCTACACCAAGCGGCAGTTGCGTTCGCATACAGGCAGCTGTATCGGCTGACTGAAGATCTGAAGGACCTTGACTTCAGTATAAGTCATCACGAGGCTGCTCTGAACGCAGCGCCTCCGGGTCATGTCGCAATCGCGCATTGCCAGGAGGTCCTTGGATTATTGTATAAAGATCGCTACGAGACACTTGGGATGCTCAGTGACCTTGAGAAGGCTCTGGGTTATCAAACGTCCACCCTCGAGGACACCTCTGCAGACGACCATAGACTACCTGATCGTCATACGGAGCTCGCAATCTCCTATCATAGACGCTTTCAAAGAGTTGGGCATCTAGATGATCTTGGCGCTGCTCTCGAACATCGAGAAGCAGCTGTTCAGCAGACATCTGCAGACAACTCGATGCTATGTGCACGTCTGTCTGGTCTTGCTCTTGTATTCCAAGATCGCTACCATAGACTGGGGAACATTGAAGATCTCCAGGCAGCGTTGATGTATCAGCAAACTGCGGTAGAGAATACACCTCTCGATGACCCGCAGTTTTCTGAATTCCAAGCAGCACTTGGTGGTATCTATACATACTGCTATCAGAGATTCGGAGCGGTCGAAGCTCTCGAAGCCGCTCTGGAACACCACAAAATAGCTCTGGCTAGTACACCTGAAGGTCATTCTGATCTTCCTGTGCGTTATACAGCTATTGCTGTTACATACTCCACTCGCCACCACAGATTTGGTGAGCTTGGGGATCTCGAAACAGCACTGAAATATGATATCCTGGCTGTTCAACACACACCAGGAGGTCATCCAGGACTTCCTGCACGCCAGGCTAGCCTTGCAATAACCTACAGAGAGCATTATATAAGGCTTGGGAAGGTATCAGACCTTGAGGCCGCTCTGAGATATATGAAGCTTGCACTGGCAGCTACTCCACCTGATCATCGTGATTTACGTGATTTCCAGGCGCGGCTTGCAGTTCTATACACAAATAGATATCAGAGATTTGGAGAACTGTCTGATCTGGAGGCTTCCTTGAATTTGAAAGAATCAGCTCTGCATAACACTCCTGCAGGGCATCCTGATCTTCCAAGGCGCCAAGCAGCCCTTGCTGTCTCAGTAGCGGACAGATATAGGAGACTTGGTAATCTGGAAGACCTTGAGGCTGCTGTAAAATACAACAAATTGGCCTTGGAAAATACAGCTGGAAATGATCCATATCTTCCTGTGGTTCAGGAAGCTCTTGCACGTGCTTACTCAGATCACTACAACCGACTTCAGAAGTTAGATAGTCTTGAAGCAGCTATCAGCTATGGTAAACTCGCTATATCAGGAACTCCTTCAAACCATCCAGACTTATGTGCATTCCAGAAAAGTCTTGCGATGTTATATACACAGCGCTATCAGAGAATCAGTGACTTGTCTGACCTGGAAAACTCTCTCATGTTGAACAAGCTTGCTCTGGAAAGCATGCCTCTAGATCATCCAGATCTTCCTGCCTTGCAAAGTGCTATTGGTACATCATACACGGACAGATTCAACAGACTTGGTGATCTTGAAGATTTGGATGCAGCTCTTGAATACAATAAACTGGCAGTAAATGGAATACCAGCAGATCATCCAGATTGCCACACATATCATGCAGGACTTGCATTCTCTTATAAATTCCGGTATGAAAAGCTTGGACAAGTGGCTGACCTCGAGGCTGCTCTCAGACATGACAAGCTAGCCCTTGGAAAGATAGCTCCAAATCACCATGACTTATTCCATGTCCAAACTGGTCTTGCAGATTGTTATGCAAAGCGATACAAAAAACTGGGTGGACTTGACGATCTCGAAGCTGCAGTTCAGTATCGTACACTTGCTCTTGAAAACACGCCCTTAGGTCATGCTGACCTCTGTCTTCACCAAGCTGCCTTGGCTCATATGTTTTGCAAAAAATATAAACATACCAAGAATCACAGGGACTATTCTAGTTTTCTGTTTTTCTCTCAGCTGGCCAATGGCCATCACTTCAGGGTCTTCCCATCCAGCCAAGGCATGGAGGGCTGCATTGGAGATTGGATTTCTCCAAGTGAAGCATAACCTTCATATCTCTTTACAAGCATTCACTCAGGCATTTGAGGTCCTCTCAGATTTAATCTGGGTTGGAAGTCCCATATCTAGCAGACATTATACTCTCAGACAACATCAAATTGGGCCTTTATCCTCAATCGCTGCTGTAATTCCGAGTTCTATTTATATAGAACGAGGTTATTCCTTTCTTCAACTATGGTGGGAATGTCGGCAGCATCAAGTGATGTTGATTCAATCAAGTGATGTTGATTCAATCACGGTAAATTCCGGAAACCTTTTTCACTTACTTATTTCTCGCTTTCATACTTGACTTTGGCGTCGTTTCAATTCCTGATTCACATGCTTCCTTGTCACCGATACCTGCTGTTTGTTTAAATATGTTGATGGGCCCTTTTTCCGAATTGCCATTGAAATTGCTCTTTTATTGTATTTGCCGTTCACCTCTCAGTGCCCGTTTAGTGCTGCTTGACCCTCCTCAACACGTGTTTCTACTCAGCGCTTTAATCATTGTCCCCGTACTGAAACCTTCTATGATGTGTATCGACTTCACCTTGATGTCGACGTTGACCTCAGTATGTAGCCAGAACTGAGGTTGATGCTGTTTGGCAGCGGCCTTATGATTGTGTGATGTTGTTGAGTGCTGAATTTCACTGCAATTGCAACGGGTCGATGGCGTAGTGGATTGGCGCGTCTGTCTAACATAAAGACAGAAGGTCCCCAGTTCGAATCTGGGACGACTCAATGTGCTCGGCCTTGGCAGTTTTTTGCTCCTTCAACCTCTTCCTGCTCTCGAGCGGGACCCGAGAAGAGGTCCGTTTTATTTCGAAGCGGCGGGTACTTCAAATTCAGTTTTACTTAGGTTCTTTTTGGTTTAAGTCTTTTTTTTCACGCTGATCGCCTCATTGACACTGACAGGTATATTTCAGTCGTCAAGGGATCTGTCAACGCAACGGCGCCCTCCTCCCCTTCAAAAGGGATGTGAGTCGGCGGGCTTAGGACCATACACAAGCATGATTGGTATACGCGTGTGTAAAACGTGTAAGTCAGCAACTGCAAACTGACCCTCATAAATCATCAGCCCATTTGCAACCATACCGTCACGCTTCCATACGGAGCCTATAGGCGAAAATACTTGAGAGGTAAAGAGATATTCGCCGTGATAGACAATACCCATCAGCCAATACTCGACGTTACGTTCGCCATCCGGCGGTTTAATAGGCACAGACAGGTTCAAACTGAGACGAGGGCTCCCTCTCACCACGTCAAATGCTAGAAGGGGTGGCCCATCTAAAAATGTATGTACTCTAGTGAGCCATCTCTGACACACTCGACACTTCTACTTCCATCCCTTTCTTGCTCTGTCGTGGTCCGTCTTCGTCATCATACTCAGGGTCGTTGTACATGACCTTGCGCTTCAAAGTCATGGGCGCTTTGGTCGGGCCTTCTTTCTTGGCGATCTTCTACATCATGTGAACTTCTGCTCTGATATTCCGTTGTCACAATTAAGACTTACCTTATTACTGAAGGTCCCATCAATAAGCGCAATCGATCGCAATACAGTCATCATCTTGTAGCGTTCTCCCTTCATTGGAACTACAATGAAAGATACTTGAATCTCTACAATGTCCCCGATCCGGAAAGCCTGTGGGCGCAGCGGCTCGTGTCTGCTTGTGTGTTAGGTCGTTTGTATTATGTTATTCGCTGACTTGCTTGCCTAATTTTTCCGTCATCGCACATGCGGCGGTGGAAGTACAGAACCTCGTTGTCCTCGGTATGCACATATCCTTCGCCGGTCATAGCTTGCAGTATGCCTTTGGGGTCGACATCTTTACTGAACGGAACGCCCTCGTCTGGTAATGCGTCGCGGCCTGAGGTAAAGTAGCGATTGGACGCGTCCAGTGTATCTTCTCCAGACCGATCACTAGTGGCGAAGCTTTCGAGAGCCCCGTCGACGAATTCTCTGTCGAATAGCCCATATACTTCGCTCGCAGACTGCATGGCCGCCTCAAAACTAGCCGCGCCCAAACCGCTGATGCTGATGCGTTGCCGCAGGTATCTGTATTTCTTTTTGTCCTGGCTGTGTCATGGTCAACGGTTGCGTCGCGTTTCTGCTGCAGGTGTGCTTACATTTGCTTTTTCATCATCGGTGGTAGATCGTGGCTGATGATACTCCCCACGACGGAAAAAATGATCTCTTCCGTTCCACCATCGACGGCGTCGCATACGAGTCTCCAGGCCTTCGGCTTCTCAACCTCTTGAACCTTTACTCCGAGTTGTTCAACCCAGTTCTGTGTCTAGATCAACTCTCGAGTTTAGCGTTCAATGCCTGGTTGTAATATCTGAGTGTTCGTACCTGTATGACCCAGAGCAGACGTCGGTCTGCCCCGTTGACTGGAAATGCCGCGTACAAATCGAGGGCTGCTGCTGCATAGCCTTATAAGTTCGATCCCCTTGCATGTAGCACACCAGACGTACCGGCTGCTTGTCTTTCTGTGGTCGCCTCCATGTTGTTCGCAATCTTGCACCGTTCTGTTTCACTGTCGTCCAGGAGGCCCTTCTGGTTGGAAGTCGGTGACGCAGTCTTCCCATCAAACTGGTATCTCTACAATTCACCTTTGGTCTTACTTCTGCGCTCGCCGCTCGCTCCATCGGCGTACTTCCCAATTCGTTCCCTTCATCCTTTGGCAGTACCCATGTTCCTGTATCCGGGTATAACGTGCTTCTTTCTTGTTGCTGAAGCCCTGGGATTGGGAGCGGCCATGATGTGGTGCGTCTTTTCCTTGGGTTGCTATCACACCTTACCCTTCATTTCCTTTGTTTAGTATACTACGTCCCCCTTGCAGCTGTTCTATGGCGCTTCTATCGGTGCTTTCAAGAGCCGTGTATTGGGATCCTCCATCTTTGGCCTTATCATTCCCGCGGCCTTCTGGTCACGTATTGGCGCGTTTGCCAGCTGCCCCCTTGTTTCCTTTTGTTCTCATAATCGTGGTCCCTATTACCTTTTCAGTCGTTGCCTTCCAGCAGCGCCTTATTGTTCGTTTACTTTTCCCATCGCAGACGTACCTTGCTTGTCATGGCCTTTCATGCTTTCCAATTTATGCAATATTTATTGACCCCCAGTCCATATCGGAGGAACCGATCTTAATTTTGTGTTCATTTGCGTCGTTTAATTATGCATGATGGATGGCAGACTTTGTCTGCTCTTCTTACTGCAAATTTGTCAATGCCGCGTGTTGCATTGGTGATGGTAACGTGGTGCTGGGTTCCGAATCCTTCAATCTACGGGCCCATCATGTCCCTCTTCTTCCTCTAATAGGATTGCTCCGCCCTCCTTTGGCTTTTTTGCCCTGACGTTTGTTCTGGTTTGTCCACTTGTCAGCTTGCTTCTTTCTTTCTCGTGGATACGGCCTGCGAACAAGATGTTTCTCTCCTTGCTCCTGGTGTGCGTATATAAGCTATGGTTTGTGATGCAACGTTCCAGTGTACTGCTCGTTTGCTATGCCTCCAAAGACCCACAACCTCTATGTCAAAGGAACCGTGGATTCGTATGTATTCCGCTTGGCCTCATCGTCACGCAGTGATCTCAGCTGAATCGTTCTGCAGTGGTATTGGCCGTAAGGTGGCGAAAAAGTCCACGATGTATGTTCAATGTTGTGTATCTTCGCATACTTGCTCCCGTGCTGACCGTCCTCTGCTAGCCCGACCACGTCTCTCGATCAGTGCGTTTGTATCCTTTTATCTGCCTTGCATCCAGCTCACCTTGCGTTCCCGCCAGAGCTCTCGCTGCGGCCCTTTCCGGTGGACCCCCTAGGTATTCCCTCAGTTCAATTGTTGCCTTTCGTTTGCTAATCATTTGGTTATCAGCATCGCTCGTCAGCTTCCCAAGCGCAAGACTGGTGCCGTTGAACTCGACTCTGAAGTGTATGTGTGCTTTGCTCTTATCTCGTCTAGCCTTCATATGGTTTATAGCGAGATACTTGACGGCCCCGCCAATCCGTCTCCATCCAAGAAACAGCGGAAGGTTTCGGGTCGTGCTCGTACCTCCTCTACAATGCCCCAACCCGCCGGCCCTAAAATGTCGACTTTTCTGTATGCCCCTATATTCACTTTCTCGAGTCGTTTCCTGTTATGACTGATCCCTTGCTTATCTAGCGAAAAGTTGGACGCGTCTCTCGCCGCGTCAGAAGCTGCTGATCAGCCTGCTGAACCTAGGTGCACCGCCTGCCCATTTGCTCGCGTTTCATGCTTATACTCTCCATTTTACAGTATTGCTTCTTCTGCTGCTGCGTATGTCTTGTTTATTCCCTCCTTGTTGCGTCCTCGCACTTACTTTGTCTGTCAATGCCAGTGGGCATGCTTTCAACACTCCTGTGGCTTCTGTAGATTCGTAAGTGGCACCACTTCGTTGTATTGTCCTTTATTGACCACAGTATAACAGGCATGCATCTGGTCCCGCACTCGATGACGACGAGACCCTCGAGGCTGCTCCTGTCATCGTCAGGTAGGTATCCCGTTGTATGTGTCTGCCCAGTGCGCTAAATCTTTTATCTGCTTGCTCTTGTGTAGTCAATCAGGTCGCCCTGTGTATGTTCATTCTTCCCCTGAATTACTATTATTGCCTTTGCTGATCGGTCGTGCCTTTGAAAGCAGGGCGAAGTCCAAGACGGAAAAGGCGCGACTTGCCGAGGTGGAGGCGGCTGCGGCAATTCTGTATGTGGTACCTGTCTTGTGTTCCTCGTATCACTTTTTGACTGCGTGTACCTCACCCTTTTAGTAGAAATAAGCGCAAGACTGTTGTTCGAGTGAATACTGTGTCTGCGGAAAGGCGTGTGCCCAAGGCGGCGAGACCTGTGTGCGTCATACCAACTTTGATTGTTCCGAGCGCCTCCTGACGGTCCCCTAGTTCTCCCGAAACTCCCCCGAAGGTCGTGGATGAGAGTCCTGCCCTGGAGTTGGCTGATCCCGAGCATTCGGATGATGCTTCGGATGATTCCGATCGCCCTCCAGTCCTGGCGTGAGTTTATTATCTGCTGTCATATTTCCCGTTACTAACGTCCATGATAGTTTGTTCCAGGCGTCGTTGAAGGGTCATCGCTTGAAGGCACCTCAATTGCCTTCCGATGATGAAAAGGACGAAGCGCTTAGGTACGCCTTTTTTTTGCATCAACTATTCTCTCTGAATTCCTCTGATATCTGTTATAGCTCCCCGCCTGGTACTCCAGCTGGAAGCGCGAACCCCTTCGTCGACGTAGAGGCCCGTGAGTCTCGTATGTCTGCTGAACCTTCTGAGGATGAAGGTGCCTCTGGGAACGACTCCGACGGCAGCGACGCGCGTTCTGTTGCTTCGGTTGAAGGCTATGCAGTAGTTGGCGCAGATGACATAGAAAAGGGTCATGATTCGGACGCAGTCATGGATCCAGCCTTGTGGCATCCTATGATGGCCGCTGGCTATGAGGCTCTGCCTCACATCAAGTACGTCCAAAAACCTCACTATGCATCGCCTTATTGACACCTCTTCTAGGACCTTCATGGATGTCGCTCCGTATACCAACGGATCAAGCCAGACGGATCTATCTTCCATGCGATTCCAAGTCAAGGAGATGATGGCCTACATTCCGCAAGCTATCCCGTACGCGACTTCAGCATCATTTGTGCTTGAACTTTTTCTGACTTCAGCCTAGCTCTCTGGCAGCCGGCCTTACCTTTGTCCGGTACGGCAATTTCGTTAATATGGCTCGGAT